AAAAATAAAAAAAATAAAAAAATGTGACTACCCTCCCAGCTACACAAGGACCTGGGCGGGCTCACTAACTCAAAAAAAAATAAATAAATAAATAAATAAATAAATAAATAAATAAATATTAATAATATTAATAATAATAATGTGATTACCCTCCCAGCTATATCAGCCAGGAAGAAGTAATTGAACCACCTCCTGCCTCAACATACACATTTTTACATAAAACATTACTAGAGGAATAAAGATGAGAGTGACCAACCAGCTCCACTAAGAACCTGGCAGGCCTCTCCATACAGTGTACCTTTAGACTAACACAACTAACACTTAACTAACACCTCAAAAAAAAAAAATGTGACTACCCTCCCAGTTACACAAGGACCTGGGCGGGCTCACTAACTCCAACAATAACAAATAATAATAGTAAGCAGCATTATATAAATAAACCAATATTAATACAAAGGTCTGACGACCCAAGGGAGCAGAACAAAGACAAAACACCAATAAGAAAGATGAAGCGATCTGGTTGAGCCCAGATTCTTTCTACTCCTGCTGTATTTCAGTTTCACCACTTTTCCTTCAACTCCTAATAATCTTCTTTCACCTCTTAACTAAAGACTTCGTATCGTATCGTACCTAATACCTGACCATTTATGGACCTCATTCACCCTCCTCTGTATACAGTATGCACCTTGTTTATAATTATCTTTAGTCTGCTCACCTGAGATGTAAGATTACAGCGCTTAGAACTTCGTGTTTTATATTTCTTTCCTTGTGGTTATCAGCATATATATATATATATATATATATATATATATATATATATATATATATATAAATATAAATAAGTATATAGGTATATATATATATATATATATATATATATATATATATATATATATATATATATATATATATATATATATATATATATATATATATACATATATATATATATATATATATATATATATATATACTTATATACTTATATGTTTATATATTTATTTATTTATATATATATATATATATATATATATATATATATATATATATATATATATATATATATATATATATATATATATATATATATATATATATATATATATATATATATATATATATATATATATATATATATATATATATATATATATATATATATATATATATATATATATATATATATATATATATATGCTGATAACCACAAGAAAGGTAGCAGGCTGCTTCTAGACAAAGTACAGAACATGTTATATATATATATATACAGAGGAGGGTGAGATCAAGTACACGGTGGTCTGGTATAGGTAATGACCCTACTAATCTTCACAAAAGCACCGCAGCGGCAGGTAGTCAGGTCAGAGGGTAAGCTGCCCCAACCTTCTCACCTGGTCACAAATCTTCTTAATTACAAAATTATCCAATTTGTACATACCATTACTTAAATTCATGTTGACGGATTCGGTATGTTTAATGAGACTAGATTCTATAATGTTCCTACTGTCAATTGAATTACAAGGTAATATTGAGGAGGCATTATCCCAGTCAATGCAATGCTTGTTATCCCTCAAATGAACAAACAGAGCATTGGATTCCTGGCCTGTCCTAACACTATATTTATGTTGTTTAAGTCTAGTTACAAGATCTTTACCTGTCTGGCCTAAGTAAAACATATTACATTCCTTGCAAGGAACTTTATAAATACAGCCACTTGTATTGTTGGGGGAGTTTTTGATTAACATTTGTTTAACAGTGCATGAGTTTTTAGTTGTAAAGGAATTTGAGAGAAATTTTTGTGAAATGGTAATACTAAGAGATTCTTATGGTCATGGGTGGGCTTGGGATCAGTTCTATAAAAAGATTTCTTAGTAATGTTCAGGCATTTGTTTATGAAAGATCTAGGGTATTTAAGGTTCGAGCCAATATTATAGATATATTTATATTCCTCATCAATGAATTCTGGGCTGCAAATTTTCAAAGCACATGAAAACATTGTTGAAAATACTGACTGTTTGACTCTATTATGGTGGGCAGAATAATAATGAATGTATGAACACACATTAGTAGGTTTTCTATAAATACTGGACTTAAAGGTGTTACCTATTCTGTGGATCAGACAGTCTAGGAAAGGCAATTTACAGTCATGCTCTAATTTCACAGTGAATTTGATCGAGGGGGCTAAGTTGTTAAGTTGTGGCAGGAAAGCTTTTATGTCCTCATTACTTGGCCAGAGACATAATACATCATCTACATATCTAAACCAGACTGCTGAAGGTAGTAAAATATTACTTAATAGTTTCTTTTCAAAGAATTCCATATACAGTATAGGTTGCTTAATACAGGTGAGAGTGGATTACCCATTGCCATACCAAATTTTTTAGCATAATATTCTCCATTGAATTCAAATTTACAATCCTTAATACATAGTTTGATGAGTTCGATGAAGTCATCTTTCGAGACTGGCAATGAAATATTATCAAGGGAATTTATGAGGAACTCCAGTAAATCATCAACTGGGACCTTTGTAAAGAGTGATGTTACATCAAAACTGACCAGTTTAAAATCATAATTAATGTGTAAGTTATTGAGTTTATCAACCAGATCCACATTATTCTTAATAATAGAGTTAGAAATGTTGCTAACTAGGGGATTTAGTAAAGAAACTAACCATTTAGATAATTTATAAGAGATTGACCTGACTGAGCTAATGATGGGTCTTGCTGGGTTATTAGGCTTGTGGGTCTTGATTAAACAGTACTTGTATGGCAGTGGAGGGGACGTTGAAGTAAGATGTTTAATGAGAGTAGCTTTGCCTCTCAATAGAGACTTAAGTTTTTTGTTGAACTGGGTGTTAACAGTGTTGAGAGGATTATTTATGAGCTTAGAATATGTTGCAGCATCACATAAAAGGTCATTTATTTTAGCAATATAATCATCTTTGTTTAAAATCACTACTGTGTTGCCTCCTCAATATTACCTTGTAATTCAATTGACAGTGGGAACATTATAGAATCTAGTCTCATTAAACGTACCGAATCCGTCAACATGAATTTAAGTAATGGTATGTGCAAATTGGATAATTTCGTAATTAAGAAGATTTGTAACCAGTAGAGAAGGTTGGGGCAGCTTACCCTCTGACCTGACTACCTACTGCTGCGGTGCTTTTGTGAAGATTAGTAGGGTCATTTCCTATACCGGACCACTGTGGACTTGATCTCACCCTCCTCTGTATACTGTATATATATAACATGTTCTGTACTTCTTCTTAGTCTGTACTCACCCCTGATGATGTGAATTACACAAAAGCGCTTGGGAACTTCGTGTTTTCTTTTTCCTTGTGGTTATCAGCATATGCCTGGATCACGCTCACCTATAGTGATTTACTTGCATATATATATATATATATATTTATATATATATTTTTATATATATATATATATATATACACACACACAGTATAGTCTGCATTTACGCGGTCAATTGAACCCATGGAGGCCCGCGTAAAACGAGAAACGCATAAATGAAATAACAGAACATATGGGATTAATTGAAATAGAGACTGGGCCGACCCCCAAAATCCACTTTTTCCGACACAATACATACGTTATAGTAAAAATAACATCTTAGTTTTATGGTGGTATGCACACACAATTAATAATTAAGAGAAATATCAATAATATTAGGTTTTTTAACACTTACATTAGTAGAAAAGCTGGGTCGGCACACGTGGATGGCGGCTGGTTCCGAGGCAGAGGGCAGATTAGTTGCCCCTCCGGTGAATCACTTTCACTACTCACAGAGGTTTGCAGGGCCTCCCAGACAAACCCCTCAAAGTCCATATCCTCACTGTCAATATCACTATCACTGACTTGGGCTGGCTGTGGTTGTGGTGGGTTGCGGGCGAGGAAGTCCTCAATACTACGTTGACGACTAGCATTGATGTTATTGAGATAGATCTGGATATACGGCTCCATAACTTTCGTCAAATGGTTATTAGACGCTTCATACCGATGCTTGTCTGGGTCGTTGTCAAGGATGAGCTTAATTTTCTCCCCCAACTTGATGATTTCCTTCACATTATCATGGCTTGGTCCAGGTAATTCAATGTTTTTCTCTGGTGGTGGGGGTCCCGCGGAAGCCATTGTGAGTTGTGAGGGGAATAGCGGGCACAAGAGAGAACTGTATACGCGGACTGAGAACAATGAGACAGGCCCTGCTAGGTCAGCGACTTCTACCCTCTGGTGGCAGGGCACGTCATGTTACATTAGACCAATCACAGCTAGCGGCGGAGGGAATGCGTGGGTGGTAAGGATGCGTGGCCCAATCACAGTCTGATACGTCATATGACGTCAGCTATAACGAAAGAGTGGCCTAATGTGCACCTCTCACCGTGCCGCTTCCCGTGTATGGTCAAGAATGGACTGCGTGAGTAAAAAATGGCGAGGCGGTCTGGACCTCTCCAGCCGCTCGCTGCGTAAATAACCAAATTTACCGCGTAATTAAAGCATTTTCATTCTGGCAAGGCACCGCGTAAATGACCAAACGCGTAAACAAAAACCGCATAAATGCAGACTGCAGTATACTGTATATAGTGCATGTTCGTACAATACCAAATACTGTAGTCCTCAGCAGTGGCGGACTGGCCCACCAGGATACCGGGAAATTTCCCCGGTGGGCTCCAAAGTGATGATCCATCACTTTGGGATTAAGTGGGCCCTTGTGGACCTTTTTGAGTGGGCCCTTTTACAAGTTTTCCCGGTAGAAATTTTTGACCCAGTCCACCACTGGTCCTCAGCCTTTCCTGTGTATTTTAGGGGATGATATAGGACAATATAATACAGTATAAAAACAATACAGTACTAAATTTCACTAAGAATTATTGTCACTCAGAAAATAGAACTTGAACTGTGCTTAAATATCCCACTTGTAGGAACACCTAACACATATTGAAGTAACATAACAAATCATACATTATTTGTTTTTTGTGTTTTTTTCCACAGGAAGGCCTTGGCTATCAGAACGTAACCATATCCCACTACGAGGAAGATAGTTTCAACTTAACGAAAGCATTGGAGCGGCTTAATGCAACTGGCCGGTAAGTTGTCATCCGACGTCACTAGAAGTGGAGTTAGGCATAAGACTACAGTATGTAAAAGTAAATACAAGGTATTGAATATGATTTACTCAAGTCTATTTGACAAATTTTTATATATTTTATATGTGGGATTTGAATTTATAACAGATTTTGAAAGATGACCAGTTGTGCGAAATATGGTAAAGAATATGGAAATAAGTACAGTAGCTATGTTCACATTTTTTGTGTTCTAGGAAAATTATGATTTTTTTTTTAGAAATTGTATGCAAGTACAGTAGTACAGTATTGTACTGTTGAAGTAAATGGGGTTTCTGTTCTTATTATAGACAGTTAATAAACCATGTTGGTTTTTATTTCAAAATTTAAAATTATTGAAATGAGGAGAGAGATTATGAAATGAAATAATGAAGTAAGCCCCTGTACTCTGTACATGTAATAGGATTATCAAGCGGGATAATGAAACAAGTTGATATACTGTAACATGAATGATTTTTCAAAGCAGGGTTTTCTTGGTATTATGCACCTACTAATTGATGCTTAGTTGTGATTGCGTGATAAAAAGTAAGTGGATCAGTAACATTGTAATTTACTTACTGTCAGGAATGGCAACACACCAACTGCCATGATCAACCTGGAGGTGTGGCAACCACCCAGCTCTCGCGAGGAGGACAGAATCGCCAGAAGTGACTGTGGCTCACATTCCTCTGGCAGCAGGTGAGATAAACTGTAAACAATGTACTGCTTGCATAAGAAGGGTGAGTAAACCAGGGAAGGAGCACAAGTAGTGGAAAGAAATAATAAAATAATGCATAAATTATATGATGTAAAGTACACTGTGCCAAACCATGATAGACCCCCCCCCCACCCCTGGTACTTGTACAGTGCAATAGGCATGGGCAACCTGCAGCCTGGACCATGTGTTTGTGCGGCCCATGGAGGGATTGAGAAATTCTATTTAATGTGGCCCGTGGTTCAGGTAGATACAGCCAGTTTATGGTGAGTAAAGCAATATTTATTAAAAGAATAATCTTCACACACACAATTCGTTACTGTTACATCACCTGAGAGTAGGTTACTACGAAAATGTAACAGTGAAATAAGTTTATACAGTATAGTCAACAAGATAAACATTTTAACTTGTGTGAGTTTACGGCCCAAGTTCAGCGCAGTCTGTTTAATGGATTAACTGCTATGTGGCAGTGGGTCACAAGGGAATTAACTAAGGTTGGGTAAGTCCAAGTGGGGTCACGGCAGTGGTCATACAGGGTTAAACTAATTAAGCACATCCATAATAGCACAAAAACATTCAAATCGCACCTTGAAAACCCATAGTTGGTGATTAATTAGCATTTAAATAATATAATTAAAATCTTTCAAGCATCATTGCAATTTCTAAGTACCCCACAAACGAATTGTGGACCATAGATTTGGAATCAGCATGCTCAGGAGTATCTATAGTACTGAGATTTTCAAAGAAATCTAATTTTTGGCCCGAACCACCAAAATATTAAACCATAAAAGTCTTAGTGATTTTTCAACCGAAATATGCTTTATCTCGGAATTGGAATTTAAGGAGTCTAACTCTAACTAATTAAATACTTCCAGAATAACACAAAAAACACCAAAATTGCACCTTGCAAACCCATAGTTAGTGAGTAATTAGCATTGAAATAATACAGTATAATTAAAATCTTCCAAGCGTCCTTACAACCGCTGATTACCTCGCAATTGAATCATGGACCAAAGATTCGAAATCAGCATGCTCAGGAGTATCTAGTATCTATACTTTACTGATATTTTCCACGAAATATAATGCCAGTGTTAACCTTGGCATATGAGGGACTACTGTACAATGAAGCAACCAATTGTTACTCTCTCTCTCTTTCTTATATATATATATATATATATATATATATATATATATATATATATATATATATATATATATATATATATATATATATATATATATATATATATATATATATATATATATATATATATATATATATATATATATATACACAGTTGTACCCCACTTAACGCGGTCAATTGAACCCAGAGGGTCCCGCGTTAAGTGAAAACCGCGTTAAGTGAATAACAGAACATATGGGATTAATTCCAATAGAACCCAGCCCGACCCCCAAACTCCACTTTTTGACGACAAATAACTATGTTGTAGTAAAAATAACATCTTAAATTTATGATGGTACATGCACACAATTAATACTTAAGAGAAATAGAGAAATACAGTCGCCAAGTTAATGTCCATTCAAATAATGGACTCAACTCCCTCCCCCTCTTCTCACACTACACTCACTGGCTCTTCCCTCTGAGAAATTTTGGGGGGAAAACCAGGTATAGTAATAAATAATTCCTCAAACTAAAGTTAGGATAATATAATTGACATTGCTGGATTCCTTGTAAGACCAGGAATATTTTGAATATAAATGTCATATATTTTTCACAAAAGATAACATATTTACTCAGAATAAACTTTACATCTAAAATTTGTATGTCTAATGCAAAATCTATGATGTTTATATTCAAAATGATCAGCAAATTGTAAGAATTCCAGCAATGTAAATTATATTCTGGCCGGATAATTTGTATGAATTTTATGAGCTAAAACAAATATCTTCAGTTAATAAAAAAAAAAAAATATTCTTCGACACTATCTGTCAATCAAAGTACCCCACCTTGCCTTCCCCCCCTCTTCCAACCGCGTGGTCAGTCCCAACCCTCCCCCCCACCCCCCACCAATTCACCCTTCAAGAGATGTTGGGTGAAAAAACTAAATTTTAACATTTAGTATTAAATAATACCTCAGATTAAAGTTAGGATAATATAATTGGCATTGCTGGATTCCTTGTAAGACCAGGAATATTTTGAATATAAATGTCATATATTTTGCACAAAAGATAACATATTTACTCAGAGTAAACATTATATCTAAAATTTGTATGTCTAATGCAAAATCTATGATGTATATATTCAAAATGATCATCAAATTGTAAGAATTCCAGCAATGTAAATTATATTCTGGCCGGGTAATTTGTAAGAATTTTATGAGCTAAAACACATATCTTCAGTTAATAAAAAAAAAAATATTCTTCACATGGTAACAGATGGTCAGTCGGTCCCTCCCTCCCCCCCACCCCCCACCAACCCTCCCTACCAGATGTGTGGGGAAACCAGAATATTTACCTTTTTAGTAATAAATAATACCTCAAACTAAAGTTAGGATAATATAATTGGCATTGCTGGATTCCTTGTAAGACCAGGAATATTTTGAATAATAAATGTCATATATTTTGCACAAAAGATAACATATTTACTCAGAGTAAACATTATATCTAAAATTTGTATGTCTAATGCAAAATCTATGATGTTTATATTCAAAATGATCATCATATTGTAAGAATTCCAGCAATGTAAATTATATTCTGGCTGGGTAATTTGTATGAATTTTATGAGCTAAAACAGGCAGGGTGGCGGGTGGGGGGTGGGGCGAATCTAAAAATAGCGTCTGGAGCCAGACGTGGAAAAAACCCGCGTTATTAAGTGAAAGTTCGGCTCTGGCTAGGCACAGCTTATAAGTGAAATCGCGCTAAGCGAAACCGTGTTAAGCGGGGTATTACTATATATATATATATATATATATATATATATATATATATATATATATATATATATATATATATATATATATATATATATATATATATATACAGTATATATATATATATATAGAGGGTGTCCCAGAAAGAGTCAACTTTCTTCCCTACCTGCCTCCTTTCCTCCCTACCTGCACCCTGCGGAATTTACTGGACTTTAATTTCCTCACTTGACTTGGGGTTTATTAAAGATTGTTAGATGGTAATTTGCAGTGGAAGCGCCCCTTAGTGAGAAAAATCCCGAACCAGCACAAGAACACCTAAATATACTAAACAAAATGACTTGTCCGTGACCCGTGGAAAGATAGCGTCTGTGACTGGGATGAATGAGACACACTGTAAAATTTAGACACTTATATTCCTTCCAACACTACAAACACAATCAAATAATGGTACACCAATATGCGCACCTCTTAACTTGAACTTAAAACAATACTCTGAGGAATAAAAGTTATACATGATATTGAAATTATTAGAAACTCAGGCAACAATAAATTTAAAGTATTAAGAAATGTTGCTTGCACACATGAAACAGGCCTTAAGGGCTTTCAACAAAATTATATCACCCCAACAGATGCACAATTCCTAACCTAACTTAAACACTACTCTGGGGAACAAAGGTTACCTGAGATCGGAATTATAAAGAAAAATTAAATGCATTAAAAGAATTAAATCACAGTATCACTCTGGTTCCACTTAGTGACACAAACATTCAAAAAACAATACTATCAAAATTATTTAAGAAATATTAAACCACACACGTCAAGATAACATCAGTAACTGAGAAATGGTATTAACTACACACAATATAGTCACTATTATTGATATGTTACTGGGTCCACCAATACTCGTGAACCATGCTCCACCCAACTCAACATACACCCGTAATAAGGGAGATAAAATGTTCCTCTAGGTATCTCCAAGAGTCCTAGACTCATGGTCTCAGTGTGTGACCATTAATTTACTCAGATAGCCTCAGTGTACTCCCAGTGCGTCCATGGGCAGGAAGAGAGAACGCCAGCAGGTGTCTATGGCCAGTAGGTAACACTTCTAGCTGACCGAGGACACGTGGTGTTGTGCACCCACGTGGTAAGAACTGATCACCCACTGCTGATGCTGGTCCCATGTCGTTTTAGTTGTCGGGAGCACTCGTTCACTCAAGAGGTCCTTTGCTACCCCGCTAACCAGTGACAAGCCTACACTGATCGTTCCGAAGGCGACAATCGCCAAGCCTCAATCATCAACGGCAGTCTCAAACGGCAGTCAGTCTCTCACAGCCAACTTCTCGCAGTCAAACTCGCAGTCAAGTGGGTTCTGACGGAAACCCTGAAATGAACTCACTGTTAGCTCTTGTTAACTTTACCACTGCCCTATCTAACCCTGTCTGAGATCGAATGAGACTTACTTGTTATACTGCAATAGTGCAACACAGGTGACTAGGCCACGTGACTATTTCTGTGACGGACACGCAGGGACGTCTTGTTTGTCTGAATGCTTCCCCGTGACTGAGAGAGAGCCCGCCTCGTGTCCTCTCAAGGCGTTAGCTTAGGCCTACGTGACATATTTTCCGCCTAACTAATAACTCCTTGGGACACCCGTGACATTATTCAGACTGATAAACGATCTATAATAATTTCAAATTCAATAATAGTCCCTTAACTTCATGAATCGCATCATTATTAATTCGGCAAATTATATTTAATATCACTTAGGCCTAGTTCCACAACCTCTCCCTATGTGCAGGGAGCGCTCTCTTCCCTCCGACGACCTTGAAAGCTCAGTATCGCCAATGGCGCGGTGTTTGAAATTACACTGAAATTTCTGAATATTACAATCAACCCCCCTAAAAAAGACAGCACTGTCCTCATGTGCTGAGAAAAACATGCATATGACCCCCCTAAAAAAAATTTCTAAGAAACTGCATCTTACCCCTTTAACGTGCTAAACGCAGCATTCCCGTCTTCTCTTCTCCACTTCTCTCTCCCGCTAACATTCGACCCCCCTAAAAAACAGCACTGTCCTCATGTGCTGAGAGAA